GCGAGAGCGCGTCGGCCACGAAGAATGAGAGCCATCTCGCCATCCGTTGCGAGATGTGCGGCGACTTCACAGCCGTCCGCAGCGACGCGTGGTCTGTATAGACCACGAACGGTTTGCTTCCGAGTAGATACACTCGGAACTTCGCGAGTGCGTACATCATGGCAAGGAGCTCCTTGTCATGTACCGGGTAGTTGCGCTCAGCTGGCTTCAGCTGACCCGATTGGAAATAGACGACACGATCACGACCCTCGTGATCGGGCTGCATCAACGCACATCCGATTGCGAAGTCGGATACGACGCACACAACGTGGAACGGGCGATCTTGGTCGGTCACCGCTAAGGTCGGCGCCTCAGTCAAGCCCCGCTTGACTGCATCGAAGGCCTGCTAGTCCAAATCCACTCGGCGTCCTTCTTCAGGAGCTGTGACAGCGGGCGTATCATGCCCGCGTAGTTCTTCACATTACTAACACAAGTACGTGGCCAAGCCAAGGAACTGCCGGAGTTCCTTCACGTTCGACGGCGTCGGCCACTCATTGATCACTCTGACCTTCTCAGGGTCAGGGCGGACACCGTTCTTCCCAACGAGACACCCGAGCACGGGTATCTCGCTCGCCCCGAAGATGCACTTCTTCAGGTTCGCATAGAGCTTGTGCTTGCGCATGAGCGCAAGCAGCTTCCGGAGATGCACCTTGTGCATCGCAACATCGCTCATCCCGTCCGCAACCCGGCTGTGGACGAACACATCGTCGAAGTAGCTCGGTGCGAAGTCGCGCACCGAGCGCAACAAGTGCGTCACGCACCTGTTGAAGGTCGCAGGACCGTTCTTCAGACCCTGCGGCATCACTAGCCACTCCCAGAGCATGCCGCTCGGCGTGCTCACAGCCGTGAGAGGGATATCGCTCTCACGCATGAGGATTTGATAGAACCCATCGCGCAGATCAAGAGCACTGTAGATAGTGCTCCTGGCCATCGAATCGATGATGACATCTTTTCGCGGTATCGGTGTCTGCGCCGGTATCGTCGCATCGTTCAGCTTGTTGTACGCATGAACGATGCGCCAACCGCCCTGTGGCTTCTTGACACAGAACGTCGGAGCACTGTGCGGGGATTCCGATTCCCGCACTTGTCCAGCTTTGCGACGACTCTCAAAGAAGTCGTCGATCGCCTTGACCTGCTCTCGCGGCAGTGGCCACTGCCGCGTGACACAGTACTTCGTGCCCGGCACGAGATCAATCTCGTGCTGGATGCCCTTGTCCTGCGGAAGCTCCGTAGGGATCTCTTCCGGAAGTACGTCCGCGTACTCCCATAGAATCTCGTAGAAGGGACTCGTCTTCAGCGAGTCCCAGCTCTGCTCCTCAAAGCGCTCCTTCTTAGTCTTCGCACTGAGAGTGTCCTCGCTCTCAGTGGTGGTCTCCATGAAGAACTACCTCAGTTCTTCATTCTCGCTCTTCGTTCTCTCGGCGTCCGAGAGAATGCATATTTGCTCGATGCGTCCATCGTGCAAGTCACGCGCGAAGCGTTTCCAGCTTATGACTGGAAGCGAAGTCAACTCCGACGATTGCGTCGAAGGATTAGCGATAGTCATCTCCCTGTACCGGAACCCGGGACAGGTACGCGTCAAGACGTTCAACGTCTCGACGTCCGGCTTCTCAGCCTCTGTCTGCCCGGCAGACATTTCTTGTAGCGCCTCGTCCCCAGGACGAGACTTGCGTAGCGGCCTTCGCATGCGCCGTCTTCTTGTTTTGCGGAGTCCGGCTCCGATTGGTTCTTGACCTCGTCCAGGCCCAGCCGTGGACGAGTGTTCTTCTTGTATACCGCCGGCCGGTATATCCCGCGGGCGGGCGACTTCAAACCCGGCTTGGTCGCCTGGCGCTTCGTCGTGCAGCCCGGCTGCACGACAGCATGCAAGTTTTTCCGGTGCGGGACATTTGCAACCGTCCACACCGCTTGCAGCGTCGGCTCCCGGAACCGACACGCCATCTTTACCTCGACGCCTGTTATTGGCGGAGCTCTTCGTTACAAAGGGCGCGTCGACTCCCGGAGTCGACGCGAAATTCCTTTTGGCAGCGCCAGTTCCCGGAACCGTCGCGACTTTAATACCTCGACGCCAACCATTGCCGGAGTCCCCTATTACGTAGGGTGCGTCGGCTCCCCGAGCCGACGAATCAAATTCACCCAATCCATCGACTCCCGGAGTCGACGGCGTTTCGTCACCTTGACTCTTATTATTGACCAAAACTGATTCAATCAGATTCGCGTCAGCCTCCACGGCTGAGGCGTGCGGCTCGCCTGCGTCATCCATGCCCGTTGAGGTCGGAGACTCTTCTTGATTCGCTGAAAAGCGGGTGTCGATCTCCGAGATCAACACATTTCCTTGATTAGCTGTCGGTGGCGACGCCGACGCTAGCTGCTCTTGCGCGCGTGCTCGCGCGCGCCCAGGGCGCTCCGGAACAGCAGCATCAGGCGCTGTCTCGAGTGGGGAGTCGCGCGCACCTGTCGGTGCGTGCGTAGCGGCAACAGGGCCATCGCTCACTGTTCCGCTGTCGCGACCGAAGTGCACGAGAGTGCGCTTCTCCCAATCGACGACCGGGTAATGCTGTGCAAGCCACGGCATGCCTAATACAATGTCAAACTTATCGTCCAGATCCAGGACGATAAAGGTCTCGACAAACTCTGATCTTCATACGTGAAGCGCACGCGTACCATGCGCTTCTCGGTCTTCACGACGGCACCCGTTACCAGTCGTACCTCCAGCATACTTCGAGGTATCTTTAAATCCTCGAAGTCAAGCCTTGATAGACTTCGCAGTCGAACAAAGTTGTTCGACGCGCCCGAATCAACCAAAGCACGAAGAGGGTTGCTCTCTCTCTCTTCGAAGACACGTTCAAGATGACAAGGTTCGGTTTGCCATCATGCATTTTGCAGTAAGAAGGGTCCTCACTGGGGACTGCAGTCCTCAGTGTCGCATGTTCGAGTTGGATATGCGTGACTGCTTCGCCAGTAGGGCGCCCCGCGCCTACTGGGCTCCAGCGTTTTTGTTTGTCCGCGACGATGCCCGGCATCGCCGCGTCGACCACCATCTCGGTGCACGGGTGCCGTGCACACTCGGGCATAGTAACCGATCCTTCCGCAACGGAAGCATGGTACATTACTTCCTTGTTGCTGTTGATAATCAACAGCCGTTGCATTCGAGAGGTTCATTGGTTCCGGACCTCCCGCTATCGCAACCGGAGGCGATCGCAGCCTCGGCGCATTCGCATACAGCTTAGCCTGCCGCAGGCTAAACTCCTCCTGCATTGCAAGAGTAATTGCAGCTTCGAGAGTACTCGGGTACTCACGGAAGAGATAGGTCTTCACAGGCCCATTTCTAAGTCATTTCATGAACGTGACGACCTTAGTCGCCTCGTCTATCGGGTTGGTCACAATATTCGAGACCAAATACCGTGCTCTCTGCGCGTAAGCATGGACATCATGCTAACCCTGCTGTAGGTCGAGGAACTCTGCCCTCGACCGGAACTCGTTTTGCGGGGGCTCAAATGCTTGTCTGAGCTCATCCTTGAAACCCTCGTACGTGCTGAAGCACGTAGGATCAGAGAGTCGGCGTCCATACGCCCAACTTCTCGCTCGTCCGCCAAGGCATGACATGGCGAACGCAACCTTGGACAACGACGTCGAGCCGCAATGGCAGTGTCGAGTTCGACAAGCTAACGGAGGAGAGGCTCGCCCTCTCTTCCGACATAGTTGCTCACGTTTAGCTTCAACGACTGTCCACGCGGTGTCGTCTCCGACGCCACCGTGGTAGAGGAAGCAGCATCACGCTGCTCCTTCATGATAAACCCGAGAGCAACACCATGTTGCTCTGTCGACGATAGCGTACGCAGCATCGCAGCTACTGCCGCCTCCCCAATGACTGTTGACAGTCGTTGGAGTGCCTCCCACTCTGGATCCGACAGGTGGAGGCAGTCAGCGCGTGCAACATGAGTTGCAGGCGAAGTGGAGCTTTCCATGGGCACCTCCGCGCTCATGAAAAGGTTCTCGGCCCCTCGTTCGTACAGCTCCGTACCAATTTCAGGTAGTCGGTCGTTGGACGGACTACAAAGTGCTTCCAGGTGTAATGGGCCTACCTTGGCTCACTACTACGGCTTACACGTATGCGCACGTGTATGAGGAAGCGTAGGTTTCTTTTACTTGAGTTAAGTATACTCGAGATCCACAAGTATACTTTAAACAAGATAAAGACTCCAAGTAGCGGGTTTTGGTAAAAGATGAGAACTGCTATTTTTGTTTTATGTTTCTGACTTCCTCAAAATGTAATATTCTAAACTAGGAATCTGCCAACCGCTGGTTGGTAGGATTCTGCTAACATGCAATTCACTCATTGGCTAAAAGATGCTGCTTTCAGCCAATTGAAATCCTAAATGTGCATGGACCACCCGTCGTGGTGGTCGTAAATGTATGTAGCCATTGGTGTACCTTACACCAAGGTCGAGGAAGTGTTCAAACCTCTAACAGACATCGCAACAAGTGACTGTAGCCACTTGTGCGTGTAACCCCGTTACATCTTTCTTCTATTCCAGGAAGAATGCCAGCGCTGGAAGGTCGTCGTGAGACTCTTGTAAATAAAGCGACGAGAGGGAGTTGCTGACAGGGGTGGTTCGCGCCTAATGAGATCTTGATATATAGAAAAATTGTTTTAAAATTTGTCCTGTCAAAATTTGTCCCATTGTGATACTATACATAATTGTAGTGTTGATCTTCCGGACGGATTAACCAGTTAATAAGGGTTTTGGGCGTTGGATTTCGGTGCATCTTTTTAATGCGGGATAAAACGTGACCAAGGGCGGATAAAAGGGCGTATTAAACGGAGTCGCATTAAACCGTTTTATGTAGGTTTTGGAAGGCACCCATTAGGCGCCTTCCAAAATGGAGTATCCGTTGAGCCATGTGAATCAGAATCTCCATGCGCAACGCCTGAATGCGAAGGTCCGGTCGAGTTCGAGATGGAAGATTTCCCGGAAGAGCGAAGTGTGATTGACACGTCTGTCTGCGCGATGGAGCTCCGTTTAGATAAGGTGCAAGTGGAAGGTAACGACCTTCTATTTGTGGAAGGTCTCGTGCAAGGGCGACGTCTGAAAATGTTGGTTGACTCTGGAGCGACGCACACCATTGTGCGACGCGATCTGCTAGTGGCTCCTGCTGGGACGCGGGAAGAAAGGATTCAGGCGAAGGAAGACTGTCCGTGACTACATCGAAGAAGTTCACGGTGGACATGACGGTGGAAGATCGCTTATGTCCAGTCGAGATGGTGGAGTGGCCCTTACGACAGGACTTTGACGGCATTCTCGGTAAGTCGTGGCTTCGTCGTGAGAACCCCGATATTGACTGGGCGGCTGGCACTGTGTCGTAGCAACACCCACCTCGCCGTAATTTGCCTCGAGAATGGACACCACCTCCGGGTTCTAAACCGGAGATCGAATATGTAGACGCGGACGAATTTCAACGCAATCTCAGGACCGGGATGTAACGGATTTTCCCGAATACAAGACCTGTAGGAAATAGAAGTCCGGTCAGGAATTGGTTGGAGTGCCTGAAAATAGAAGTCATGTATCAAATAAAAGACCGGACATTTATTTTTTTAACCCTTTCGTGAGCAAGTCACTAAGTATACTATACAAACTCAAGGTACTTGAAAATCAAAGGGGGCATTCTGCTCCGTTCGAGCATGTAGCCATCCCTGCCTCTTGTTGGGTACACAAATGGAACAGGGCAAAATGCCCCCAACGGGCAGGACAAACCTTGCGTCTTGATAGGCCAAAACAAAATCTTTATGGAGGGTCGCCTCGCTGAAAGGGCGCAAGCCTCACGCGATTGACTGGGGTTGCAGAGGAAGCGGCACCTTGCTTCGACGGAAGCTGATCTGGAAAGAGTTGGACTACGAATATCTTCGCTATATCTTACGAGGGATGCGCTTGTTTGAAAGTATCCGAAGGTGTCGTCGTAGGTAGTGCCCCGCGCGCAGTTTTGAAATTCGCGGCTTCGAGTTCACTTTCCATTTTGCGAGCCGCTACCCAGCTCCGTCAACAAACCTCGCCGACAAGAGGTATGCTGCTGGACCCCGCCACGGACGCCACGCTCGCCGACGGCTAGGGTGGCATGCTGCGGCCCGCCACGCTGACGGCACGGAGAGCATGCTGCCGAACCCCGACACGGACGCCACGCTCGACGCCAGCACGGACGGCATGCTGCCGGACCCGACGTGGACGCCAGCACTGTCGGCACGCTGCCAGACCCCGGCGTTGACGCCACGCTGGACAACTGCACTGTCGGCACACTGCCGGACCCGACGTGGACGCCACGCTGGACAACTGCACTGTCGGCACCCTGCTGGACCCGACGTGGACGCCACGCTGGACAACTGCACTGTCGGCATGCTACCGGACCCCGACACGGACGCCACGGCAGACGACTGAACGGAGGGCATGCTGCCGGACCCCGACAAGGACGCCACGCTCGACGGCACGATGGCGGAACCCGGCGTGGACGCCACGCGCGACCACGGCATGGTCGGCGCGTTTGTGTGCCCCGACGTGGATGCCACGCTCGGTCGGCACGCTGGGAGGGTATGATGCCGGACCCTGACCTGGACGCCATGCTCGGAGCTGGCAAGGTGGGCACGCTGATCGGACGCCACGGTTGACGACCGCAAGGGGGGCTTGATGCCGAACCTAGATACAGACGCCACGCTCGACGTTAGCATCGCCAACATCGTGCTTCAGCAATGGCGACATGGTGCTTCACTCTTACCAACATGCTTTGGGTCGTGAGAGTGGTAGATTTACTATTGAGCGCAATGGTATTAGGCAAAAATCTGGTAAATGTGAATGAAAATGATACGTAGAAGTTTGGATCGTACAAATATTGCTTGCTTGGCACCAGTTCTCTACTGAGTGCCCCCATTGAAGTACATGTATATTCATAGTATCCGACGTCGGCACCGTTTCCCACCATGACGCAACACAGCAGTGTTAGTGTACATGACCGAGTGATGTTCAGCAGAAATTCAAGCTTTACAGCACAAATAGTAGTAGATTTGATATTATATGGATAGGTCATGCCCTGAAAATATCGGCTTGGAGCATGCCCACACGAGCTGCGTGAAGACATGCAAGCTTAGCGGGAGTTGTACCGTCGGATGGACGGATCGTTGTCGACGTTTGCACAGGCTTGAGCGGCGCAGGAGGTATATCCCCTAACAGGTCAGGTTCGTTCAGTCGATCTCCAACGTACGGGCGTTCAGCTCATCGCAGCTGTTGACCAACCGTAGTCCACACTGAGTAGCGTAGACTTCAGGATAAGGGCTCGCTCAAGTTCATCAATGTTACCAATAGAGCCTGACACGGCAACATCGTGGCCTTCGGTCGCCCCACCTGGCAGAAAGCTTGGACATGTACAACAAGCGCCTTTTACTTGTTTTACATGTACCCACTACAACGTGCATGCCAACCTGGCGATCTTTGCGTCGTCCAATCACATGACGGTCTACAGTTCCGCCAATCACGCGCGCACCACGCAGGATTCCGCCAATTACGCGACGGCAATGCAGATCTCCGCCAATCACAACACGAAAAAGCCGAAAAAGCGAGCCCAAAGGAAAATAGCCTGGGCTCAGCTTGGCGCATCCTACTTTAACTTCAACACCAATTAGTACCCGGTCTCGGGGCTCTAGTACTACACGTACTCGTCCTCGGTCTCGGGGCTCTAGTACTGCATGTACTCGGTGTCTGTCTCGGGCCTCTAGTAGTTGATGTACTCCATGTCTACCTGCAGCTACCGACTGCATCAGATTTGATGCACCAGATTTGTGGTACTTATTGGTAATGTCACGGGTCCCTAGTACTTTTGTCTCGTGGCTTTAGCATTTCCCGGCACGTCATGGCCCGCGTCTTGGAGTTAGGCATGAGGAGGGCGCCGCCCTTGGGTTCGCGCCAGTGGGCTGGCGCCAGCAAGGTCACTCAAGAAGCGGGCGAACATGTCGCGACCGAGGTATGAAGCATGAAGATGCCCAGCGGGCTGCGGCAGTGAGCACAGCGCTCTTGAAGGCCTTGAGAAGCAGTGAAGGCATGGCTGCGGGGGCCAGGGCGAGTAGGGCCGCGGGGGCCAGCGCAGTGGTGGCGCGGCAAGACGTGTGGTGTGATGTCACTAAAGTAAATTTGTAAATAGTGACACCCGAGAAGCTGCTGTTACCGACCAGTTGCTAATACACATGTACCGACTGTCGATACATAGACCTCTTGCCTCAAGACGCCGATAGTAGCTCGAGTGTACGCGGCCGTGGATGTACGCGTCTCGGAGATGTCTGCTCTTAGCTTAGTGCCTCCCACATCGAGGAACGCATCCTACAGTACTGCTCGATGATCATGAGCAACAGGATATTCATGCTATGACGGAGTTATGTCGTCGTCGTAAGGTATACAAATGTTCATGGGTAGTTAGTTCATCATGATTAAGCTTAGCGGTTTGCGCTGGTGCGATGATTATTACATTGGCTTGGCCAGTCAGGACCCCTGATCAAAGGAAAATTCTGTTCACCAGGCCAGTATAGATTACGTGCAGTCACCGCAGATTTGGCCTTGCGTGTTTAATAGAGGCTAGTCAGGAAACCTTGCAAGGAAGGAGAAAACCTGTTCACCGTTGGTAAGTGTGCTGCAGAATATCACGTTGCAATGAGTGGCTATTCAGGAAACCTAATGAGGATAAAACCTGTTCACCTTAAAATTGTTGGCAGTATTAGCGTTGCATTCTTTTGATTTAGCAGATAACGTTACTGTTGGTTTGCAGTAGTTTAGCTTTGCTTTTGGTGATGCAGTTGGAATTCATTGCAGTATCATGACTACTCAGGAAAATCTAAACTAGGAAAAACCTGTTCGCCGTTCAAGGACATCGTACTCATAAGATAACCATGAAGGTTGAGGAGGTTGTCGTCTCACCCGCATATTATGGTTGAAAAAGGGGCTATGGCTTCCCATATTCACAGATTAATCTATAGTGTGGGCTTGTCCACTCTAGTGACATTCGCCTTTCGACGTGTTAATGTCGCTTTACTTCTCCACTTGGCTACCACACACTGTTCTTGCTTTCTAATGGGTTTACATCCATGTCGCATCAGACAGAAGCTTACATTGCAGATCGAAACGTTGCATGTAGTAGTTCAATAATACGCAGTCGTAGTTGTGGTAATAGAGAGTGCACTCGTTCATTGTCTTACAGATAGATTGTGTGCAGTGGCAAGCTGGTTTCAAACATCAACAATGTCTACCGGTAGTCTGGGATAAACAGAGGCTGTATAAGCTTGTCGTATTTATTCACGGAAATATACTTGGCAGAGGCTTAGTATGAGTGCCGTTTTAATGTTCATCAAGGACAGAAGTGTTTTACACTTGTCATTAATCTCATGATGTCGTATGAGTGATCGAAAGAAGCGTAGTGTTCGTGCTTGTTATAGATTTTTGACAGCGGTCATTTTCGAGCGTCAAGATGTACGATGTTTTTTTTATTGGAAAAGGTTATTGAGTTACTTGCATGAGCTGAACTCTAATATCCTTGTTGCAGCGTAAGTGATGAGATCACCATTCTGCGGTGTGTTCTGTACCCTCGACGAATTATCCAGTGGCTTGTGTTGAGAGCCGTACATTCTCTCTCTCTTTCCAATGCTCCACATCGTTTCTGAGGTACTCCAATGTGCCATGAAAATGTCGTTGTAGGTGCTCTCGACTGGGTTGCGAGATCATTTTGCTCTTCCTCGTGTCCATTGCTAGGTTGGCGAGAGAGTCCGCCATTTTGTTGTGTGCCCGGTAGTGGTGAGTCCACGATTCAACCCTGACTCTGTCGGCCAACCTTCGACATTGCGTGTATTTTCCGCGCAAACCTTGTGCTTTTGGCTCTCTCCGTTCTTCCATCATGCGTAGGATCAACTTACTATCCCCTACTACGTGAAGTCCGTATAGTTGCTGAGAGGCCGCATAATGTAGCAGTTGGTGGAGACCGTTCAGTTCCGCCCGATTGTTAGTAGTGCTGGTCCGGCCAAGCGAAACACAGCTGATCCATACGATTGTAGGCTCGGGATTTCCGGGCGAGAACTCCACCAGCACGCTGCCACTGCCCCCTGGTCCAGGATTTCCTCTTGATCCTCCATCAAAGAAGCCCAGAACCGTCGTACGAGATGGAAGCATCGCTTCCTGCGTAGATACGTTACTTTCAGTCAGCAACTGATACGCAATTTCTGCTGCACAGCGTTCTTGGAAACTCTGCGTCGTTACTGGTATTCTGCTACGGAGCCGACTGTATGCCTCCTTTAGTCTTTGGCTGAGGCCTATACTCCATGCTGCGATTGACGTCACCGTAGATGCTGAAGGGTGAGTCATTCCTGTTCTTCTCCGCCATATTATGTGTGCTGTCGTGGCCACCCCCAGTCTCCACATGCGTTGTACAATCGTGTACAGGTGATCCAGTGCTCCCTCCGTGACTTGCGAAGAATTATCGCTGGCGGCGTCCACGCACTTCTCCAACATCAGTGTGGGTACCTGAATCAGCTGCATGCTGAAGATTTTTTTTATGTTAGTCCTAACGGAAACTTGCTTTCGCCCTGCTGTCTCCCATTGCTTCAAGAACACTTGCCATAGGTGCTGCGCTGTAGGGCAGTTCCAAACCAGGTGCGAGAGGGTTAGTTGATCCATGGGATCACAGCATTCCTCCATACACCTCTTGTCCCGTAGTCTTCTAGTCTTGATTCTATACATGGTCTGGAGTTGAAGATGTACGATGTTAATAGTAAGACTTATACACATTTAGTGCGTGTTGCTTTGGCCAAATGCGGTATATTCATGCATGTATTTGTCGGATGCGTACTTCTCGTGCATTCCTTACTACTTATATAACAGTAGATATAAGCGAAAGTCGTGCTTGCAGTTTCGTTAACGAGGCGTTTGTACTTTACGTGCCAAGTATGACATGAGCGATAGAATTCATGCTCTTAAACTCATTCGTTAATCGACGATTCGCCTTGCCATAGTGATAAGCAGAAGTAACGTTGCCATTTCAGACAAAGGCGTAGTTCGGCCTTGTCAAATTACGCTATCCGACAGAGGCAGATTTCAGGCTTGTCATGTTGAAGAAACAAAGCGTAACTCTCATCAATGAGTTTGACTGATGTGGTATTCGTGCATATCTTGTCATGTTTACCGGTAGATGCGAACTTGTTGTGCATGCCTGGAGATTAAAGACATAAGCGTATTCGTGCTTGTCTAATGGGCGAGCAACGGGACTTTTGTCAAGACAACCCTCTTAGAATAAACCAGAGTCATCGTTCTTCATGCATATCGCATGATGTTCAATTTGGGAATACCGATCGGTAAGCCATTGAGTGGCATGTTTTGCCGATGCGTGGTTAGATGACATGAAGGCCCGTCTAGTATAGCATTAGCGCGCCGATGGCTTTACGGCTGAGGCGTTTGCCAGAAGCAACTTCACATTCGCATGTGGGGCAATATTCAGGGCTTATTCCTTCCTGTTTTCGTGGGCATTGAGCAAGTTCGGCGAGTCAGCATTGCTGCTCTCATAAGCTATCTCGCTGGTATTGGGGATTAGCCTCCCAGCTTGGCAAGTGGCTAGCTCATGACATTGCGTTTCACGCAGTTAAATAGCTCTGGGATTGACATCCAGGCATTACGGTCTCCCATTTCTCGGATGTGCATTTGCACGTGTCATCGAGTGGTCGTCTGGCACGGGGATTTCATCCGGCCGGCGCGTCGGCAGGACATCGACATCGGCCATGGAATATGTTTGCGCAGATTAATCGTCCGGCTGGTTCGTGTGTCGCTTGTCGTGCCTTGCTTCATGTCGGCGCTTGTCGCGGGATGCGCTGAGTTGGGCAGCAGTCTGGTTGGGCCGTCTCCTTGTTGATCGCGTCCACATGCAACACCAGAATCTTCATCACAGTCGGTGAGCGGAGCGGCTGCACGAATTGGCATCGCCACTACACCGTGGTTGAGGTGCTTGTCATCGAGTGCCGTGCACTTGCGGGTCTTCCTCACAGGAACTGGTATGGCGCGGGATGTTGTCGCTTGAGGCTTAGCTTGAGCTCATAACCTATGAAGGTAAGGGTAGGATCGTAGGAACGTAAAGAAGAAGAAGTAGGTGAGGTGGAGCCGCCAAAAGGCGAAGTAAAGTTTATTAGTTGAGAGAGCTCCTGCCAGAAATTACAATGGGAGACTGTATAGCATACTAAATACCACAATAACAGCTTTAAGAGGGACTGAGTAACTAGCTATCAGCTTTTAGGGAGCACTGTACTATCGGTTAAAGAGGTTACTTCAACAGTCCTGGGCACGCTGCGCGCACAGCTCGTAAACCGCAGGCGGGTACATACAGCGCTGCCTTCGGCAGCGAAAGCAATTGATACAGCAATAATCTATAACCCTGCACGCACTCCGCGCTAACCCCAAAAAAAACCTTGCTGGTAAGGCATGAACCCTACAAGCTGTTTCTCAGCCACAGCGCAACTATGCCACGCACCCGGTGGCGTTGGTGGCTCCCTAAGCGGGCCGCACACTCAGCCTCAATCAGCTCTCTAGAAGTCTTCCATGTGTAGCAAAGGCGCTTCTTAGAGAGCGCTCTAGGTCTGGATAGAAGCGGGTAATCGTCTCCTCCGTGGTATGACAGTCGAAAGTACCTGAGAACGCGCAGCTTGAAGCAGTAAGATACTGCCACTCGTTTGTAGACCTTGGGTTTCGAGCCATTGCCAGTGGCCCTCTTTCTTCTTGTGCGTGGCATAGCGGTAGGGCAGGCTTTCTAGCTGGGTTTTGCTGATCGAAGTGATGGCTTGGCGCGAAATGCAATTGTGAGGGCGAGTTAGCGCGAATTCCCTTAGAAATGACTGGTTATTCTATGAGCTATAACATGAAATTAAGGGTAAAGATTGGCTTTTTATTTATAACGCTACTGAATTTTGATTGGGCAGTCGGTGGTGTGAACTATGATATATCTACGAATTATGAGTTCTGTTGTGCGGTATTGATGGGGGACTGTATTTGAAGGTACTGTATTCTTATACATTACCCCCCCCCCCGATAGGGTCCTTGTATTCGCAGGGAACTCTAATTCCTTACCGGACACTATCCCTTCCGGACAAAATATGAAACACTTCTGGGGGGTCTTGCCAAAATGACCTTGAAACCAAATCGAAATGTTTTCGCGGCTGCTAGGGCACATCAGGGCTAGAGGAGATGGCGTTGATTTTATCCGTGGCAACCGCGAGGCCGCATACCAAAAACTGGATGCATTAACGCTACGGACAGGGGACCCATAGTGATCATGATACTGTTAGAAAAGGCAACCAGGACATAATGTGAAACAAGGAAAAACGATATATTTGGTTTACCGGACGTCTATAGACCATCAGACGATGTACTAGTAGTTAGAAGCAGCCTACCGAAGTATATAAAAGCATTGGAGGCCACATGCATATGCTCAAGGGTCACTTAGCTGTCTAATATGGTAGAATTAGCTCCCATCCAACCGAGGTCGTTGCCGGCTCGTTACTTACCCACTACGGCTTCGCACTCTCTCTATCGATCATGCTAGCCTTTGTTAGAGCCGTAACATCCATCTAGAGTAGATAAAGTCCGTAGCAATGTTCGCTTGGCACCTTTAATCATCACTTGCCCACACCCTGTTGCAGGTCCCATACAAGGTTGAGCCCATGGTCTCTACTAAGTACGGATTTACATTAACTGCTCCGTTTTGAACACAAGAGGTAGCAATCGAAAGCTTAGAATGTGGAGAATACACCTGGCTAGCTCATTCTGCATAAAACTGCACTGAATTGACATTATGTTGGTACTTGTGTTTTCACCTTATGTTTTGCTAATACAAATCCCAAGTAATAAGTGCTTCAGAATAGTGGACTGTTTCATGTTTTGTCCGGAGGGGATACAAGTATTCGGTATTCTACGTTAATAGGTATTTGCTTCTACGGTATAATATTCGGTATTCTACGTTAATACTTACGTTTTGACAAATCGGGGTAACCTACTTGGCCATTTTAATTCCTCCGCGGCTATATCGACTTGGTCTCCATAAAACGATCGCCTAATCATGCACATCCACTCACATATGAAACGAATGGCGGGACCCCGGGGTCCCCCATTACGCTCGTACTTCGTGATGCGTTTATTTTGGATCATAGTCGGTAGTGTACGCACCACCTGCCCGTCAAAAGCATGCAAAAATGCAGTTCTAAGCTTCAATTGACTATAATAGAGCGCTCAAAAGCACATGGTGTCTGTATTTTCTGTTATCACCACATCACTAAGTACGAGCGTAATGGGGGACCGTCCCGCCATTCGTTTCATATGTATCGCAAGGTTTACAAATCGATCGAGCTAAATCAGGGTAATAATCAATCGATTGACGAGCAAAATAGGCAAATGAAGCGGTTTAAGTGAAAACCGTGAAAACTTTTCACAATACATCATTGTATAATAAAACAGTAAAAACAAAACGGATAGACTAAAGTTTGAGCAGCCTTGCTGGGGATACGATCTGTTCCAGCTTCTCTACAAAGCGAACCCACTCGATATAGAGCTCTCGGCCATGCGCTTCACTCAAGCAAGTGCCCCATTGGTTATATGCCACATCCACCGTCGATTCATCTACTTCCGTGAGCACCGTCGTGGCCCCTCCTTCCAAAATCCACTGCACGTCTTGCCGCGCTCCCTCCGCCAACCAGTTCCAAGCGTTAGCTTCGGAATCGGCGATCAACATGATGTATTTGTCCCTCCGTAGCCCATTTGGCTGCGTTGAACGTGTGCGGCGCGCCAGTGCAACATACCGAAGACGAACTTCTCCTGGAATGCTGTATACCACAACGTAGGCATGCTTGCCGAACCTTTGCAACCCTTGGCATGCCATTCGTCCGCTTTGAGCTCGGCCCCAGCACCTCGGCGTCGTCAGCACAGGAAGCAGGCTGGGGTCCATAGCTGCTCCGAGTCGTCTAACGACCAGCGCAGACGTCTCGTGAAGCGCCCATGGGTTCTGAAAAATGTGTTGGTCTCGTCCAACGCCGCTGGGGCATGCTCCACCGCCCAGCCCAGAATATTTCTGACTTGTTCAGTGCATGGGTGTTGTAGCGAGTTGAGTTAAATGTCGTTGAATTCTTGTGCTGAGTAAGGGTGGAAATGGAGCGAAGGCGACCCGTCCAAGAGGTTTACGTTCCAGCCCAGCTCGCCCGAGCCTTTCAAAATGGATCGAGGTGATGGATCATCGAATAACCGATAGCCATACAGGTGACGCTGCTGGCGGATTGCGTCTTCAAAGCCGTCGTACGGCTCCAGCGCCTTCAGTAGTAAGGCATTTTTCCGTGCCAACGCTGCACAGTGGATCGTGAGCTGGAGGAGAGCTACGAACTGCTCGCTGTAGTTCGCAGAAGAAGTATCGGATACCCTTGCTGCTTTGACGCAATGCTGCAGCTTCGTCTCCTGGCACTCCCGTTTTAGTCTCGCCAAGTCTTGTTTCATCTCGGTGCGCCACCGTGCCACTCACGCTCGATGGTAGTTGTCCGCTGGTCGGGTCGGGATCGGAAGTTGGCGACACGATCGCTGACGTCTTGGTACCGCACACTTCGTGTGTATTGTTGCATGAAGAGGTTGGATCGTGGTGGAAAGCATGGAATTCGCTGCTGCTGACACGCCTCGATACGAGTGAACTGCGCCAGTGGAGCAGCACGTATATATATTGATAGCTTGTGCTCTTCAAAGTAAGGAGACAAACAGCCTGAGAGCTCTGAAATTTAAAGTTTAAAAAAAAAGAAATTGGTGAATGGTAAGGAGGAAGTGGGTTGACCAACTCAGAAAACCTGCACAGAGCTCAAATGGCCAATGTCGCTATGGATAGTGGTTGTTCTCGTAGCTGATGTATTTCTTTATGGCTGTATTTGCCCGCACAGTCGAGTTGACTTTCAATGGCGTACTGCTCTCCTTGTCCACTTGGATAGGCCTGCCTAAATCGTGTTGGACATCAATTTCGGTCTCATGCAGGGGCCCTGCATGAGACCGAAATTGATGAAGTTTCGAAGATCACAACTTTTAAAAATTAATGCGGACAGAGCCACACTCTAAAACAACAATTATTTGTAAAGATTCAGGGTTTTACTCAACTCAGCTCAAAGAAGTCTAGCGGGTGATATCGATTGCTCCAAGCGCACAGCGAACCGGATCCAATCGATGAACAATTCCCTGCCATGCGTCTCGCTCAAGCACTCAGCCCACTGGTCGTACACGACGTCGATGGTTGATTCATCCACCTCCGTAATTGTCACGTAGACGCCGCCCTCCATGATCCACTGCACGCTTTCCTGCGCATCTTCAGCCGCTTGTTGGCGGTCGAATCAGCTATCGTCATGATGTACTTGTCCACGCGCTTGCCATCCGATCTCCGCTCTCTCGAGTGCTGAGCGAGAGCGAGGTAGCGGAGGTTCACCTCACCTGGGATGTTGCACACTATAACGAGGGCGTCCTGGTGGAAGTTCTGCAGCACTTGGACGCTCGTTTCCCCGGTCTGAACGCGTCCCCAACTTCGAGGCGCTACCAGAACGGGCCACAGTTTCTTCTCCATCCGCGGCAGGATCATTTCAGACACGTCGAGCGAGCAGTGGAGGCGTCTTGTGAACGTAGCGTGCGCCACAAACGATGTTCCTGCTTCGTTACGAGTGAGCGGGACGTAGTCCACCGTCCAGCCCAGAATCTTTCCCACAGTCGCAGTGCACGGATGGCGCTCTCCATACGCGATGTCACTGTGGCACAGGATACCGTCGAATTCGGCCTTGGAGAACGGGCTGAAGTGGAATGACGGCTCGTTGTTCGGGAAGCTTACTCGCCACCCGTCCTCGTCGCCATGGCGTGGCGTCTCCTCGGCATCTTGACTTGAATTTTGGGAGCTAAAGGCCCCAAACTCCTGCCCCTCAAGACGCAGCACCCTCTCGAACTTGCTTTGCAGCGCGATCGCCTCCTTCAGCGCCAGGTTTTCTCGCTGTAACGCTGCGCACTCGATGGTGACCTGCCGGAACGCGTCGCCAAGTGACTGCTCTGGATTGAGGTCGGACCTCATGCGCGCTTCGAGCACCCGGTGTTCCAGCTCCTTCTCCAGACGCAGTCGTTCTTGCTGCATACTGGCGCCTCGCTCCTTCTTCTGCTTCCGCCACTTGATCATCCGCGCCCGCTGCTGCTCACGTCGCCACTGCTCGCGCATGGCGGACTCCCAGAGTTTGGTCATGGCGGGGTCTCCCATCGTCTCGTCGATGGTCATGTTGCAGTTGGTGCTGCTCAGCCCAGGCAGTGGACTGGAGAAGGACTTGACAGTGTCGACCATGGGTCTGCGTTATAGCAAATAACTCGGAATGACGTAATCCTAGACCACCCACCGCCCCACGGAGAGGAAGGGGTCTCGAGCGGAAGAGGTTGTGGCGTTGTAAGCCAAGCCCATCCTTTTTCTGGTATCACGTGGTCTCGTGCATCAGGTGAGGTGAGCTGCGCAGAACTTCAGTACTGTCGCAGCGCAGGCCTTCAACTAATCACAGACAGCATAAGGACACAACGAAAAGAAAGATGTTGTCTAAGACGAGAACCTAAAACGCACTGCACTTGTGGTTTTTGCTGCTGGGGCTGCAGCAGAGTTTACGGTCTCAATTGAGATTTTGCGGCTGGATCCACCAGACAGCGGTACGAATTGTTGTCCACAAGCTGCGGTTCCCTCACCGGACTTCCTATCTTACAGGTGATCATCAGGTGCCGCATATGATTCCGGCTTCAAGTCCGTTCGAGATCCGTTGATTCTGTCTCTCTCTTCGCTGTACCGGAACTGTATGTGAAGCAGACGAGCCACAGAGCTCAACTTTCCATACCCAAAAACCTCCGACCCTCCGACTTTCTCCGACTCGTACACAAAACATGCGGATAGGAGGGTGGTCACCTTTAACTATCACCCAGCTACGCGCTACGCGCAAACCTAAAACCCCTAAAGGCTCGCTGCACTCGCTGGGCCAGAACCCTAAGCCCCCTGCGGCTCGCACGCGTCGCCTCCGCTTGCTAGGTAGAGCACTGCTGGGTCGTGGGTTTGCAGCCGCGTGCTACGCACACGGACTGTCAAACCGCAGGCGGGGGCTCGCTACGCTCGCTCCGTGCCATCCATCCCAAGGCTCCCCGACCAATGAGCAAACGGGACGACTAATCTATCTTGGACTGTGTATGCATAACACTTTGGGAAGGGGTAGGGTAATACTGTTATGCTCCGACCGCGCTTGACTGGGGATTTGTATACCTAACATCTTAAGTGCGGTCGGAGATTTGATGATATTCTACCATAACGCAGATTTTGATGACTATCATGACAATATGATCATTCCGTCATTATGGTTCACTTCAGTATGGTGCCTTATTGGATCGTGGGGTCGGGAGGGAGGGGGATCGGAGTGAAATTGGTTTTTGCAGTACGATAAGGGCATACTTGCACAGTGCATACACGTAACTGGACTTCCTACTAACAGATCGGCTAGACTCGTTACGTCTTCAAAATATTCTTGCAATGCTTTTGCGGTCGGCTTCTACATGTAGTTGCAAGGAACATGCACTACAGTAATCTGCCCGAGTAAGGAACGCCTGATATATATAAAGACGCAGAATATATAAATTGATGTTAAGTTGAGTATACTTTTCCAATGTACTGATTTAGTTATTTCAAAATGAACTGAAGAGCAGCTTTACCTACGAGTCCGGAATGATTCCAACAGTGGCGTATGGTCGAAGCACTAACCTTTGACCAGGCATCCTCGCACCACAACAGCGCTGTCAACTGGTCGACCTCGTAGGGATTATCCAGCCCTTCACCTTGTCGAGAATGCCCACTTTCTCAGACCAAGTGAGACGGAGACGCTTGGACGGTGTGGACTTCATGGGTGTGGAGTGGGGGAGGAGGTGGGCTTGTGGGGCGAGGTGCAAAAGCAAAAGTGCGAGTCTACCACTACGGTACATGTAGTTTGAAGTCTAGTAAGATCGCTAAATGCGTGCCATTTTTCAAACGAGGGTGGAGAGCTGATGATTGGCACTGGATTTTTCACCTTAGTACCTCAGTACCTTGCAGTACCTTGCACATCCCCCTATCGCCACATCGACTGGAAAATAATATTAAATATGTGAGGCTATTAGTTGTACACCCGTTCCTTATTCGGGCAGAATTCTGTACAGTATTAGTGGTAGTAAGTAGTACAGTAGCAAGCTACCTGGTAGGACAAATCATGATAACCGTTCATCGAATTTGCAATACATTACGGCACCGTAGATCTTGGGATTGAACATGCCCGCCTGCTGAACCTTCCAGTGCAGTACGTATAACGGTAAGATAGTTGACGCCGATGGGAAAACTGGAACTCCAGCTTTGACGTTCTTGCTGTTCGCTCAGACAAGTCCGCATTCCTCAATTTGCTCTGCACCACACAAGCCCTTTCAAGTCCTCAGTGGTCTGCCACCCAAGTCGAAACATGCGCGTGTGCTCCGTCCTCCTAGTTGCTGCAGCTGCTCTCATCGCGACCAGTAATGCTGTTGAGCCTTCCGCCACGTCAACCGTTGAGGTTGCTGAGGTTCAAGCGCGTGGTGCAGACAAACGGTTCCTTCGTAGCCACCAGACTGAGAATGAGCAAGGAGACAGCGATGTCAACGAGGCAGAAGACGGTATTGAAGAGAGACTCCCCAACCTGTCGCCTGTAGACGACGCACTCGCCGGGCTCAAGAACGCAGTGAAGATCAGCCCTGACGATGTTCTGGTGCAGGCGAATAACGGCAAAATCGACATGCAGCAAAAGCTCTTCCAACAGTGGTTGAATGGCCCGCCTGAAGTCCGACAAAACGCGATCGCCAAGATCATGAGGGATGGAGGATACGAGAAATACTATACGCTGTTGAAGGCGTGGGAGCACCACGCAGGTAGAACCGGCCAGGGCATCGGCTTCCTCGGCGCTACCAATGCGGTTGATGAACTGCTTCCACAAGCTGTCATCAGTGCGGCAGCTGCCGGAGATAAGAGAGCCCAGGCGACACTATTCCACAGGTGGATCGGCGCTGAAGAGAAAACCAGGAATACTGCGCTCAGAATCCTCCACGAATATGGAAAGGGGATCCTAGCGTATACTAGACTCAACAATGCGTGGTTGGAATTCCTACGGCGACTCATGTAAGCTCGCAAGGGTCGTCGCAGGCAGAACTGCGGCCTCGTCTGACCCGAAGAGGTCAGATTCAGGGCTTGAAATCAACATAGCAGAAAGCTTCACCTGCAAAAGCTGGTATTTTATTTTTATTAATCAATGACTAATAATAAAGAACACCACTTTTTGCTGATTAAAAATTACCCCAGTATATTAAAAACAGTAGTACAGTAATGTGCGTCAATAAGGAACCGCTAATATGGATAGAAGCAAGGAGGCTATTGGGCCAAGCAGTGTAACATAGACGGTTCTGGGTACTGTCTTAGTGCATTAAATTGGAAGTATCTGGTATATTTCCCGGTCAATTTCTTTGAATGGTTCATCTAAATCAGTACTATCAGCGGGAAACTGGGCTCCTTCCAGCCAGCTGTTTGTTATATGTACAAGGAAATTAGCTCCATATTGACACACATTACTGTAAAAGGAACCAAAGCATATCTTGAGCCAGGACATCGACTTCAGTACGGGTGAATAGTGTTCTTATGAAAACTTCCGTGCAAACTTGAGAATGGAGAGCCTTTCGTTCTTGGCTTTGGTAGAGCGAACGACCTGGTCAGACACAAAACAACGGCAATCGAAATTTAGAGCAGTTGCGTCGTACGAGAGGAAAGCACATTGGAATGATAGCGCACCGTCATCTCGAAACCGTCCTTGGCTAGTATAGCAGCGATTTCATTGGGTTTGTTCTCGACCACGACGACCATGTAGAAGACCCCACGAGGCGACAGCAAAGCGCTAATCTTCGGCAGCAGGCGATCAATCACTTCACGTCCGTGTAGACCGCCAGCCCACGCTGCCTCAATACCCCTGCAGTCATTTTCAAGGTTATTCTCTAGCACAGCATCCCAGTCAACACTATACATAAGCACACACGTACGTGGATCCGACCTCCTCCGATGGAGTCGGCACATACGGTGGATTGAACAGCAGCACATCAACTTGTCCCTACAGCTCCAAACCCTCAGTGAGTGACAACCAATAACACGCCATTTGCATGGATCAAATGGGCTTCGCACCTGTATCCGTGGCTCGTAACACTGCAGCAAGTCGGTGCGCACGATGTCGAACGCTTCCGCCCCGTTGTTCTTGGCGGTTTGTTGAGCGACCCCCGCCGCGAGCGGATTGATGTCCGTGGCCAGGAACATCGCTCTCGTCCCCAACTTCTGCAATTGCGTCGCCAAGTACACGAACACGGCGCCGCTTCCACACCTGCAACCAGTCTCAGTTCAATGCATTCCAGTCTGTGCCAGCCAACGGATTGACTCACGCACCCGATCTCCACGCAGATCGCGGGGTCCAGCGCCACCAGCTTGGGCAGTTCGTCTTGCAGCGCGTCCAGGAACAGGAACGTGTCCTCCGCCGGCTCGTAGACGTCGCAGTCGTACGCCATGTCGATCTCCGGTAGCTCCGCCATGGTCTCTCGGCTTTCAAAGCACTGCCAGTTATCCCCACAGGCTCGGGCGTGTGCACCACATGAGACTACACAGTGATCATGAAGGGACGCACAGGTCGGTTGCCAATATTACTACGGCGATGGACTTGACCGAGGATGAAGATGGCTACAATAGCAGCACCGGCAGCGTGGACGAAGACGCCGAGCTGGAACTGTCCTGCGCTCTGCATGACTTGGCTCTGAGGGTGAAAACCTTCGAGGCCAACATGCAGGGCCGGTTCCGCCAGGACCTGGGCGACGAGGAGGACGAGGAGGAGATCACGGAGGACCTCGACCATTTTGAAGAGGAGGGAGGGCCCAGCTACTACGGACGACATCGGATGGACTCGGACTCGGCGTCGCCCAAGCGTCGAGTGAGTAGAAGGAGGAGGTCGAGTAGTGGCTTCAAGACGGTCAAGCACCAGCACGGCGATGAAGAGGACGGCGACTATGAGGACCTCGACAGCGACCAAGAGGACCGACCGGAGGCCAAGAGTGGGCGTGACGACTCGGAACTGAGTGAGGGTGAGGATGAATGGGACTCCCAGGAGGAGAAAGAGGAGCTGTGCGAGCTCAAACAGAACATCGCAAAGCTGCTTCAAAGCATGCAGGAGGAGGCCAAAGCCCTCGAGGACAACCAGGCGGACTGCAAAGTCGTAGAATAGCCACGCATATCGTGAAGCCTGAGGTTTGATAACATGAATGAAGCACTTCACCCTGAAAACAAAAAAAATCGCCTGCAGCCTGTCGCTATTCAGTACACAAAGCCATCAGGCCCAGGATCTTCTTACACGGTTGCCAAGACTTTCACAACTTGTGGCATTTGCCACCGCATTGCTCACTCCCGTCAGGCCCGCTATGTCCACCGCCCTATTTCGACTGTAAATACTCCAAGAACCGCTTCTGCAGCTCGAACTCCTGTTCGCGCAGCTCCGTCTCCTTCTGACGCTGGTCCATATCGAACTGAATCTTGCTCTCGATAAGCTCCAGGATCCGTGCGCGGAAGTTATCGCTACTGATAGTGTCCGACGCGGCCGGCATTTTCCCGGCCATGGCGCCCACAGGTGACTCCATCTTTCTCCGCTTTTGCGGCAGCATGGAAGGGGGCACAGCCGGAAGAGAGCTGCCAAACGTTGCGCCGTCAGTCTTCACAATGACCCTCTCCTTGCCGTTGCCGTCCACCACCGTCTGCCCTGCCATCTTGTGGTTCTTCCGGATGAGCGTCTCGTTGATCTCGCGCAGAATCGTCTCCTTGCGCGCGTTCTCCTCCATCGTTCCGTGCTTAAATAACTTGTCGTGCTTGCCGTCTGTGTACATTTTCATCAGTGCCGTCACTCGGTCACTACGCAACAATAAAAAATAGAGTGAGACCATGAAAATAATAAAAAACTCTCGCATCTCCTCAACTATTTTCCTCACCGACACGTGTGCCATGAGTACGCCGCCGGGTTCTG